GATTATAAAACAGAAATGTTAATTAATCATCATAAATGTTTTGCAGTGATTTCTCTTAGAGTCTATCAGAAGAAAGATTATGAAACAGAAATGTTTCATAAACTGAAACCTGTTTAAGATTTAATTTTCAAACCTCAGATTTTTAATCCTCTGACATTAATGTTGTTTATTGTGTGTTATTCAGGGAATTCAGGGGGACGCAGGAAGTCCTGGTACACCTGGACCAAAGGGTGTTAATGTGAGTAATCTGTTTCAGTCTAATCCCTTATAACATGATGAGTTATTACACTGAAAATTGTATAATTTCACCTTCATAGGGAGATTACGGTGAAAAGGGTGAACAAGGAATTCCAGGAACCAATGTAAGTTAGTTTCCACACATTTTCACTGGTTCTGCATGAAAAACAGAAAGTCTTTCCTGATAGTCCAAACAATGTCTGGACATCTGAAGTCTGATTAGTTTTAAACTTTAACAAATGGAAAGTCCTGGTAAAATAATTAACTTTTGAAAGGCTCATTTTCCACAAAGGAAGTGGGAAGTGAGGGGCATGATTGTGCAAACAGATGGAGCTTTGTTGATTTACTCTCCATACTTCCTGTCTACAACACTGTGGGGGCTTTAAGACCTTTGGTTATGTCTGAAGTTTAAGATGTTAAAAAATGTTTTACTAATGCAGTAATGCAAATATTTCTTTCTATGGTCATTAGGTTAATTGTTTTTAGGTTTCAGTGTGTTTTAGAACCTTCTGCTGTCAGTAAAACAAAATAATTAGTAACAAATGTCCAATGTTATGCTTAAATGTCAGTTTGTATGTCAAGTCTGAAGAACAGAGTGATTGTTTCACCATCTGACATGTTGACGTGGAGCCAGCTGGAAGAACATTGCAGTTCTTCTGCTGCCAGGAAGGGAGCTGTGTGCTTRTTCCTATAAAACGGAAATGGAAAAGCAGTATGGAGTGTTCATGTAGAGCTGAAATATCAGGTGTAGTTCATCCTGAGCTTCTTAAACTTTTTGGGCCCACTGTCATTTCTCTTACAAGCTTTCATTACTCAACAATAGAAAGAARAAGTGCAATCACCTCAGAGAAATAACATCAATATTCAGTTTGTACACAGAAACTGAACAAGTGTTGTGTAACTGAGCTCAGTAGTGAATGACTGCACAGAATCTATTTTTGAGTACTTTGACTAGTGAGGGTTGCTTTAATTTACCACTGTATTTGTGACTTAATGTTTTGTTTTTCATTGATATGGTTTCTGAAACTGATTTCCAGTGTTGTATAAAGTACCACAAAGTGATACTTGAGTAAAAGTACAAGTATCTTACCAAAAAATGACT